AWTAYAAWTRKWTTTTRCKWTWYAATYAYKTCAGGTTAAATGACATTCCCATGCTTTGTTTGTGATGTGTGTGATGCAATGACGTCTGACTTAGTAACGACGTCAGGGTCTCTATAAAATAGTGCTTTCTAGAATCAGTTTGATCGGCTGCTGTCAATTCATTGTTTTAAGAGTAATTTCCTTGAAAGTGAAAGTCAAATATCGGTGCGTCGAGAAATGTCAGCAGCTGCCAAAAGACTAAGAATGTCATTTTCAAATGATTTATTCATTTGAAAGATATCACGTTTTTACCCTTTTTTTTTTAACTTTTTCAATTAACAATAGAAATATTTGACCTTCAGTTTAAAGTGCATTCCGACCAAAAAATTGAAAATATAAAAATTTATGTTTGTCCTCCGAGTTACCATTTCTGGCAATTATGAGCAAAATTACCATGCATCCATCCATCCGCTTATCTGTTTATTCAAAATGCTCATTCATTTATTCACTGATTCATTAATTCATTCACTTTTTCCTTCGTTTATTCATTGATTCATTCATCTGGTAGAGGTTTCATAGAAGTTTGACTTTAACAGGAAAAGAGGGTTTTCAATTCCCTATCTCTCTGACATCAGATCAGCACCACTTTGTCGAATTAAGACAATCCTAGAAACTCTGGGGCTCTATGCAGGATGCAGCACGCGTGTCATGGATGAACTTCGCAATGGGCTCTGCTCACCATGGAGTCTCTAAAGATGTGGCTCGGTGGTAGAGCATCGGAACGCGGAATCCGAAGGTCTGAGGTTTGATTCCTCATGGGACTCAATTTTTTTCTTGTCCCAAGCTCGTGACAAAACGAAAAACATCTTTCTCTGGGGTTCTAGTTAAGTGATCTCAAATACCCCCACGACGGACAAAATGTTTTCCCTCAGTATTCTCTCTCTTATCATTTGTATCAGTATGAGTTTGGGTGATTCCGAAAGACTTAATGTGACAAATTTGGATAAACAACTTCAAAAATGAATAGATCAAGAATATAGACAGTTAAAACTCCAAAGAGCGTAGTTATACACACCTTTTTGTATGTGACTGACTCATGCTCTAAAACTTTGATAGCTCCATAGCTCTTAAACCGGGAGATTTAAAAGAGACTGCAAAAAGTAGTGCTCTGCGTTTTTTTTTTATCATTATTATCATTATTATTCTTTCTGCAGTGATTGATATTTTATTTCGTTTGCGGGTAAATTTGAGAACTAATATAAGTATAATTAAGCAGGTGATTAAAGAAAAATGGGCGTTTGATTGGTCGAGCATTGCACCATTTTAATCGGGTGATATAGTGAAGCCTTATGTTAAAAACTCCCTATCACGAAATATTTTAATTTTCGTGAAGAATCAAATGAGGCAAATTTAGTTCTTCTTATAATCAAACCAAAACAAATTTATCAAATGAAAGGTTCTCCCCGGGTAAGGTGTTTGTTGTCGTAACCGATCGACAAGGAGATCATAATAAATAAGCAAAACTTTGTTTAATTAGGTGGGCTTGTTTAGTGTTTATTGTAATGGATATTAGGAAGTTATCAGATAGCTGTTAATGTCGCATTCATCCGAAGTAGTGGTTGAATTGTATAAATTACGACATTCATTTACCCTCGAGCATCAGTCAGTTGCTGGAACTGAACGTACTTCTTTAAAATTATCGATGAAACTAGATATAAATATTCGATCGCTTTCGCGTAGACGTCGTTTTGCCGCTCATTTCTTTTAAAATTCTGGGAAAGAAAGAGATAAGATGATGGTTTTTGTCAGCTCTTTTAATTGATATACTTTCATTGTACCTTCCATACTTACTTTGATTATACCTGCGATCTCAGAAATGCGATGGGCCTTTGACAATAATCGTCAACGAGTCGATTCGGCACCAGAGCCGAGTTGACTCTCAGTGGCTGTAAATCCTCGTTCCAGAGCTCTCCCCTCCTTCGCTAACCGCTGGCTCCAAGCACCCTCAAGTTCAGAATTTCCCGCCGTTGTGCGCCGCCTTTGAGATTATTGCTCCTCCATATTTATATTTATAAAGCACAACTTCAAAATGCATGCACACTTTAGAGCCGTAGACAACGCAGTCGATAAAGTTCGGAAAGTGAACGAATATGTGTACAATGGCCTGGGTGTAACTTTAGACGTAGCGCTGGATTTGGAAGAAGTTAGTAAAGACAACGAGCTGGTAAAAGAGTTAGAAGATACGATGCTACAGTATGTTAACATGGAGAGAGAGATGGAACAGTGCATGAAAGCTGTCGAGTTAGCGAAGGACGAGTTTAATCGAAAGTATGATGTAAATCGGTGAGATAGTAGGGAACCAATTTACTTTTTATTCTTAGAATAAATGCTGCCTTGGGTCCAAACCGATTGTGAAATAATACTTAGTGTCGTGAATATAATTTATGAAAATACAGGCATTATTTTTCATCATAAAGGTCCATTTTATTTGCTGAAAATCTTATACTTGGTGTTGTTACCCTTTGAAGCAAATTTATTGTATTTATATTTCATTTTCAGTGCTGATACTCCAAACATTGAAGATATCTTCAAAGAAAAGTTGAGTTCTCTTGAAAAGAACAACAAAGATTCCGACCTCGATACTCACCCCAAGGTGAAAGAATTCAGGGAAAAAGTTTGGAACATTCACCACCAGGGGGAACCCATGCCCCAGACAAACACACAGCCAGGATCGCAGGATGAAGATATTATAATGTCACAGGTATGAAAAATATATACAGGTTATTCCATGGTTTAACATATATTAAGGATGGATATTTTTCAAGTTGCATAGAGGAAAATGCTAGCAGTGAGCAAAGTATTGGCTCTTATTATATGTTAGACCATGGAAAAAGGATATATCAATCTAACATTATCTCATTTTCTAATATTTTGACTTCTTGTTTTCAATATTCATCCCAAGGCCTCATCTGCAAATCATATTGATTGTATGGGATGTCTGGCAGGGTTTGTGCACATCTTGAAAACCCTTGAAAATCCTTGAATTTCAGGAGGCCGATTTCAAGGCCTTGAAAGTACTTGAATTTCGTTTTGGGTCCTTGAAAGTCCTTGATTTTTTAATGAACAACATCGAAAAATATCTGCTTTTGTTTTACACCATCTGTAAACCCAAAACATAGATGTTAACAGAAACATTTTTCTTGGTTTTGAGGTAAAATTTTCATCACAAAAAGTCCTTGAAATTTCTAAGTAGGGTCCTGGAAAGTCCTTGAAAAGTCCTTGAATCTTTGGCCTGAAAAAGTGTACTAACCCTGGTCTGGAAAAGAGAAGTTTCTCAGCTGTGCAACTGACCAAAATTGTACTAATCCACTCTCTCTGACTTTGTTGTAAATTGTTTCTGCTACCAGACATCACAGTCTCTTCATCCTTTTTCTTTTGTCCTTTTATAATCTCAGAGTTGGCTAGCGGACGGAAGTACTTCAAACTTATTGTTTGGCTTACTAGATACTTCAGATCTTCACTACATATCAGATGAAATGACCTCCCATTGATGAGTGTTTTTGTGTTTTTTTTTTTTTTCAGAAGGGGTGGGGGGGGGCAACAAAAAATGTTTCCATGGCAAATATTCTACAATTATAGTTTGCCGAAAGGCAACTATGTAAGGTGATGAGCTTGGAGCCCAGCAAGGAGAATTTGTTTAACAATCAAGAGCTTCTTTAGTTGGTGATCATTTCCATTGTTCTTGTGACCTTAACGTGTGATTCAGGGGTGATATTGTAAGGAGAAATTAGATGCTAGTCACTCTTGGGATTAAAAGGTTTTTAAGTTCCGTTCGTCAAGAAAATGCATGCTACTCTCACCAAGGGAGACCCTTCAGGATTACTTTCATACAGATAAATTATCAGACTATATGCTTTAACATGTTAACTGTTTTATTGAGTAATCCAAGTATTCTCATTTTTATTTCAGGCACCTGCAGAACAAACAAAGTGTCCACTGACATTGAAAGATATGGTCAAACCTATGAAAAGTAAAATATGTGGACACAACTATGAACAAGAGGCAATTATGCAGCATATTAGCAGAGGGAGAGGAAGGGCTAAGTGTCCAGTCTGTGGACAACTCCTCACTAAAGCTGATCTGGAACACAATGCTGTACTGCAGCATTCCATTAAGCGAAAAAATAGGAGGAAGTAAATGTGAATTATTGTTCTCAGGAATTTATCTTATTGGAAAAGTGCATGTTGTATTGTCAGAAACTGTAAAGACAGTTGTTGTTGTTAAGAGAAATGTTTGATATATCAATAATTTTGTAAATGTAATGTTCATTACAATATGATGTAAAGTAGTTTTAAGATGTTTACTAGTATATTTCCCTATGATTGTTTGAGAATGGCAGAAACAAGACAAAACTGAATTGTACACATTTGAAGATTTTGATGTTGATATTAAGTGAGGATTGAGCTAACTGCCTCCCGGGTAGCTCAATTGGTTAGAGCGCTGGATTGTGTTGTGCAGGAGGTTGAAGGTTCAAGCCCCAGCCGGACCAATACTCATGGTCTTAAAATAAGTGAGGAGAATTTGCTACCTTTCTATAATCAAGAAATGGATAGATATTCTAGTCTTCTCAGATAAGGACGAATAAACTGTAGGGTCCGTCTCCTGCAGGGTTAGGGGTAGGAGACGTTAATTTCCCACGCACGAGATTACTATGTGGTGGATGTCCTCCCCTGGGTGGGATGGGTGGGTATTGGCCCTGAAAAGCCCCTATGGGGAGTGGTCAATTGACCTATGTATATGTATGTATGTATATGTATAAGGAGTGGCATGTTGTAAATGAAAATGGACGAGGTTCTTTAAAATGGTGTGGTTATGAATGTTTATAATTCTATTCTTGGAAACACATCTTTGTATATTTACCAGTTTAGAACTGTAACATGATCTAATCCTGCAGATGTGCTTCATATAACTTGACTTAAGGAAATTCGTCATTTGCCTCTGTCTAGACTGAGATCTCTTGTTAGGTGAGGAATTTTGTGAAGTTCTGGGTGACTGTAAGGAGATTTACAATTGAGACCTAAGACTGAAAGGGTTAAACTCAAATGTGAATGCCTCTCACCTCTTCAGCAGTAATTTATGTATAACCCTTGGTTGTCTAAAATAGTAATCAGCATTGTTAACCAAAAATGAAAGGTTCATAAATTCTGAGAAATATAGGTATCTTTTAACCCCTCTCATATTTGAAAAATGATTTTTGCTTAAGGGGAGGTGTGGTGGGGGAACTGGATCTGATGGAGATGGGGTGATGAACTAATATCTTAATTTCTTTAAGCTATGAGTCATCGGTAATAATCGAATGAACCGTGTTTTCCTTTTGTTAATCAAATTTCATCCTTCCCTACTCAGTGGGTTTTCCCTTCCAGCATACCCGCATGTAAATATGCGCCCGCGTTTCAACAGCGGCGCTCGATCAAAACAACATTTCTTTGTTTGGTTTCGTTCTTGTGTTTGGAAGATATGATCGATGGTGTCAGTCACGGTCATTTGTTTTCTTCTCCTTCGCTTATGACCTCGTGCTGAATGCGAATTACATTTGGTCAGCAACCAAGAGAACTCACCACGTTTTGTCTTAAACTAGTTTAAGCGAGTTCTAAAAATATACACGTCACGTGTGCATACAAAAGGGGACTTACTCTAAAGCTGTCGAGTCGACGAAATTTTCTTGGTCGGAAGACGCCAGCGAAAATCTTGTTAGAACAGAAAGGACCATGTCACATTGTATGATTTGCTTTACAGAAATGTCTGAAAGAACCACGCGGACGTTATGTTGCTCGGGAGTGATATGTTTGACTTGCTTGGAGGCACACATTGTGTCGAAGATAAACGAAGCTATCGTGGCAGTAATATGTCCTCTGGGCAACTGTGACAGTTTAGTCAGCGAAGAAGAGATCAGACAACGTGTTCCTGTTGAAGTGTTTGAAAAATACGAACGTTTCAAGGTGGAAATAGAACAAAACCCAGAGATCAAGATATGTCCGGGATGTTCTCGTATTTATCAACACCCAGACTTGGAGAAAGTAGAACGTGAAAAAGTCTCTCGTCCGGAAGTTATGAAAGTAACATGTTCAAAATGTCGCCTGGTTTGGTGTTTTGCTTGCCAAGCTCCCTGGCATCATGGCTTGACGTGTAATGAATTCTGTAAGGGGGATAAATCTTTGAAAATATGGGCAAAAAACCGTGGACAGCCTGCTCGAAACGCCTGTCGTTGTCCGAAATGCCATGTCTTTATTCAGAAGTCTAGCGGCTGCGACCACATGTGTTGTAGCAGGTGAGAATCATTGTTTGAGCGCAATTTTTCGTGTAATCTGTTTTCTCGTCGAACTACATCATGAAAATGTCCATGTTTTATTTGGAAGTTTCTACTATTGTCTCAGTGAGGTTCCCGGTCTTATCTTCGAATTCTAAATTTGATCGCATCGGCACATTTGCCTATCGAGGTTTTTGTTTTCACCGGAAAAAAAAACGAAATGTTTTTCTTTCTATAAATGCGTTGATTGATATTTTGAGAAAAACTTTGGACGCTATCTTTTGAATCATCAGATGGTCGTTTGGCATAGGAAATAAGTTTAACGCGTCATGGTATCTTGTTCCATTGATATTTTCCACTGGCAAGCGTTCAGTAAACACAGCTGTGCTCCCATAAATTCTTTGCGAGAGAGGGAAGAGGTGCTATTTGGTGATTTGACCCTAGTACGGTTCTTTTTGTCATTCTCAGCCTCAGGCTAAACTTTTTGTCTGATTGGAAAGAAGCCGAGTTTTATTTCCATCTAGTAACAACCTCTGTAACAAGGTACCCTGCCTTGTATGAGGGTATTTCCACAACCCTCCTTCCAAGGGTGTAAGGTTTAAAGAAGTACATCAAGGTAGAATTCCATGATAAGCTTGGTCTTCAACTTTTGGTGACAAGACCTAGCCCAGTTGTGATGTGATAAATCATTTGATTCTGATTATTAAAGATGCTCTGTAGTTTTTCCCATGTTTATAAAAGGTAACCAAGGGAGTTTGCCTCCGACCCTCTCAAGGTGGCGCACAATATCAAACCCTATTTCTTTCTTTTTTACAGATGCAACACTGAATTCTGTTACCGTTGTGGTGGAAAGTACCATCATCTTAAATTCATAGGCAACCATTATGATCGTTTCAGTATCCTGGGCTGTAAATACAACTACAAGCCGGATCAACCTGCACAAAGGATGGCAGTGCGTGGAGCACTCTTCAGTGGTCAGGTTGTATTGGCGCCAATAGTTGCAAGTTTGGCTGTTAGTGCTGGTTGTGTTGTACTAGGCGCTGGGTTGGTGGTGGCACCATTTTATACCCCTTATGTACTGATCAAGAGACAAAGGGCAAAACACAAGCTGAAAAAAGAGAGAAACAGAAATGTGATGGAAAATTGTAGTGTTTAGGTGCAATGCCTTTATTTCAGTGACTAGAACTGTTATTTATTTATTTAATCACTTTCACCAGAGTGTGGTGAGGGTCGCACAACAGAGCGAGGCTCCAAATTAAGTGCGCCCTATATCCCACCCATCCCACCCCAGGGGAGGACATCCATCACACAGTAATCTCGTGTGTGGGAAATTAACGTCTCCTACCCCAACCCTGCAGGAGACGGGACCTCCATTTATTCGTCCCTATCCGAGAAGACTAGAATATCTAACCATTTCTTGATGTTATAGAAAGGCCGCACAACAGTCCAGCGCTCTATCCATTGAGCTAACCGGGAGGCGGTGCATTACCAGGAGGTTATGTGCATTACCAGGAGATTTTGGTTTGGATTTTAAGGAAAGCACTGCTCCTCCAAAACTTGTGTCATGTTCCTTTTGAAAAGAATATCTCAAAGGAACATCATTGAGATGATCAACTGTCCTTTGGGGCTAACCACATGTATATATAGCACAAGGCCTGACCACGAGGGAACAGCTGTACAACAAATTTTTAAAATCATTTCGTTGCATCTGCTTTTAAAAACTGCTATATTAAGCATGGCAATGTTTGGCTTCCAATCATACAACTACAGTGATCTGCTTCTGTCGCAAGTTAAATCTAATAAAGTACAAACTTGAAGTGAACGTTGGTCTAAAATTGAATTTAACATTTGTGTGCAAAACATCAGGAAAATGTTTTGCACACAAACCCAGTTAGTGAGACTAGATTATTACTGTTTTTCACTGCCTGTGTTACAATTCAAAGACTTTGGTACAATCAGTTGTAGCTGGGGAAATATAACCATGGCATCAATAGCCTTTTTGCAGTCACTCTTGATAAATTATTTGGTACTTTTTGTACAACTGCTATCATACTTTTGACCCTTGATCAAAAAAATTATCACAAATTGTTGAGGAGATAGTTGGGTTTTTCTTTCCATTTCTGAAAACAAAAAGTTTTGAGTGAATACTTCTAAGTACGATATAGTTATTTTTTTTTTGCAAACTTGAGGTGTTCATTTGGCAAATGGTGGCACAGAAAAAGCAGATGAATTTAGGAGGGAAAAGGGATATATTGCTTTTTTCTCTCCTTTGTACATGGTAATTGTTTAAAGCTGTATTTATTTGAATTTTAAAATTAAAAAGCGCATAAAGTAAGGAATTTAAATTTATTAATAAAGTGGAAAGGTTTTACAACTGTTGCCATGCGACCTGCATACTTCTTCCAGATACTCTCCCTCTTCAGATGTAAGCTTAGCCATCATAAAGAAGTGAAAAGGACAGTTTACAGAAAATGCACACCAACATTCAAAATACTTTCCATCAGTTGTTATTCTACTTCTGGTGCTGGAATGTTCAAAAGTAGGTTAAGATAACCCAGGGTTAGTGTGAAATTTGATTTCAGATCTGAAAGCTTTAAAAGAAAATTCAGCTTGATTCCATTTGTCTACAATTTGATGATTAAATGCTGTAAAATAAAATTGGGAAAATTATCCCAAAACGGCTTTTTATCAGAGAAATATAGAAACCTGGATTAAGATTTAACCCTGGGTTAGTGCTAATCGGCCTTTGAACAACTGGGCCCTGGTGCAAAAAGAGATCAGAGGCTTTGTGTATAGTAAGCTTGTGACAGAACAATGTCAACAACAGCTTGTGTCTGGCTTCCAATTCTTCCAAAAGTATCACACACAAATCAAAATTTTTCAGTTTCAAGGTCGTGAAAATAACCCTTAACTTTATTTGAGGCCAACGTTTGATTACCAGGTGATCGGAATGGGATGTCTACACAGGTTTACAAGTTTAAAGGAAGGAAGGCTACAACTCTTTATTAAAGGGGAAGTTATTTTAAATTTAAAGTTTGCTCCAAATGAACATCAATCTAAGAAATGCATTGGGCTCTGTTGTCTTCAATTGGCAAAGTGTTCTGTTCTCAGTTTCCTGGTATGGAGGTAATTTAGTTATGCCAACTAAGTTGAAATTGTAAATCGGCCACCGTAAAGTGTTAAAAAGCTGATATTTTGAGCATTAGCCCTTCATCCTTCTGACGAAGGGCTAACGCTCGAAACATCAGCTTTTTAACTCTTTACGGTGGCCAATTCACAATTTCAACTTAGTTGATATCACCAAATTACCTTATCACCCCCATCAACGCAGCACCACAGTTTCTTTAGAATTTACCCCCTTTATTCTTGGTATAGACACTGATATAATTGCAACTTGAGGAAACAAAGGCCACAGAGAACCTTTTCCCCATTTCTCCTTAAAGTTTGTCTTTCATTTTTTTCACTTGTTTCTAACTCAAAAAAATGTAATGACTCTAGAGTTTTCTCACAATATTCAAACAAGCAAGACTTCTGTTTTGTTTGCTTGTTTTTTTTTTTTTTACAATGGAAATAAGGAAGTAATCTCAAAATGTATATCAAGCACCCACTCTTCTTTTGTTTTCACTCAAATGTTACCCTAGTTGCTCTTTCATCCAAGTAATCATCAAAATGACACTTCTACTCGTTTGTATAGGTAATCACATGATTTCGAGTACAATTTGGAATAAATAAGCGCGAGTAAATTTTTTCAAAGACTAACAAAATTGCATGAGCCCGTAGGGCGAGTGCAATTTGTGGTCTTTGAAAAAATTTACAAGTGCTTATTTATTCCAAATTGCACGAGAAAATCATGTGATTATCTATTAATAATATACATGAAAAAATACGAGGTAGCTTCTCATAACTACGCAGAAGAAAAGCGCGCGCATCACGTGCAAAAATAATTTATTCAAACCCTGCAAGTGACATTGACCTTGACATTGACCTTGACATTGACCTTGACATTGACCTTAACATCGACATTAACCAATCATTCTGACCAATCAGAATGTCTGGTTTGTTTCTTTCTTTGCACTGAATTAAC